GTAGAATTATGTTTTTACAAGTTAGAAGGAAGAATCCAATGATGTTTTACTAAAGATGACATGTCCATACTGCGCGACGTTTAGAAATTGTTCCGCTTAAGATTAGTACCTGGAGGACCGAGCTTTGCTCGTTTTTTTTTTTTTTTTTTTTTTTGTAAATCGTGTATTTTGGAAATTAAATTTAGATACAAATTACTAAGTAATGAAATATGCAAAATAGTTTCGATCTTACCGACGTAATAATAAGAAAATATGAACTGGTGTTTTTCACAAAAGAAAGAAACTAAACAAAAAAAAAAAAACAAAAACTTTAAAAAAAAGAGAAAAAAATAACAAAATAACAAATCGACAAAAAATAAAAGATAAAGAAAGCAATGATCTGGAATCGAAAAAAAAGTAAAAAAAATAAGTGAGTAAATTATCGTGATACGAACCACGGCCTTCTGTTTCGTGGCTGATTGTTAGCGGCCGCCCGATTACCGACCGAGCCGTTATAACTTTTTTTTTTCGGTGAAATTTACCGTCATATTGGAATAATATTTTTCATTCCCTGAAAACTGGGATAAAACGAGATTTTTTAAAAATGAAACCTAGTCAGATCGATTTTTCGCCCACGAATCTACGCACATACAAAATTTCATGAAAATCGCTGGAGCCGTTTCCGAGATTCCAATTATATATATATATATATATATATATATATATATATATATATATATATATATATATATATATATACAAGAATTGCTCGTTTAAAGGATAAGAATATGACGTAATAAATAGGTAAGTGAATGAGACAGATGATTTGAACGTATGATACGGAAAGAGATAGCATTATATAGAGCTGAAATCTAATTACACCAATTGTCGTAATTTGAGTGTCTCAGTTTAGGTGCGCCAGTGCCATATCTACCTCGTATTTGTATATAATGCGAATATTTATATGGTCGAGTTTCGAATACTTACATATTTAATATGCACGAAAGTTTAAGAAACAGAATGTAAATTTATTCATGATAATGTGTTTACAAATTAGTGAGTGTCTCGTTTTATGTGTTACATTCGTTAAAGGTAATAAAACATTCAATGTTTACGTTCGTACTGTCAATGTCAAACTCATAATAGTCTTTGGTTGCAGTGTATGCATGCATATGAATGCGAATGGTTCTAGAATGAAATGTCAGTGTAACAAATAATCCAGAGTCCATTTTGGGTTATTTGTTGCGCTGACCGCTGACGATATCTATATTAAGTATTTCCTTAATTACTTCATCAATTCAAAATCAAACCAAATCAAACCAAAACCATCAAATCAAACCAAAAATGTATTTATTATAATTTTATTATATAATAATATAAGGAGACTCTTGCGCGTTCTAATGAATCGCCAAATTTTACTTAAAAAAATACAAATATAGGTTCGTAAGGTGCCAATTGTTTATAACATATATTATTAGTGATTTATGACTTACTAAATTTTTTGTTTTATTTATTTTTTCTCACGCTAGTTTATAGATAGGTATGTATTAATTTATTTTAATCAGACTGTAAGTTTAGGTATGTTAAGAATAACAAAGGCAGCTGTGCACAGTATTGAGAAACAAACGATACGAGCCCTAACGAGAGTCAATTCCAACATAATTTGGGTCACTGCCGGCCTATTTGTACGTCACGGAATCTTACGCCTGCGTAAGCAAGCGGCTCTCAAACTTTCGCCTACAACCGAAATTACTCATACAATAACCCTCATTAACACACAATAACATAGAGCTATCGTCTACAACGGCTGCACCTTTGATTATCATGGGCTTCAGCTCCTGACTCTCTCAACCCTGGTAAGTGGAGGTGCTGTCTTTAGATGCAAAATATTGCAAAACCTACATTATATTTTGACTATTATTATGATTATTATAATTCAGACTCGAATGTATACTGACGATCTTTTTAGGGAACATATTTTATTTATTTGTACACCCTGCAATGGGTAAAATATAGCGATTTAAATTACTATACTGGAAGCAGCTGTAAAGAATTAAATCGTCTAATGTACCACAGTAGAAATATAAAAAGTATTCCTTTATGAGAGAATACGGCCATAAACCCAGCGAAGTTCCACCTGATGGTATGATCATAACAAAATGACGTTGGGGTTGACAAATATCTCTTCGCTAGACAAAATGCAAACAAGAAAAACACTTCTACTGTGCGCCGGTCTTCTTTATTGGTCTATTGCAACTCGGTACGCTCGGCCACAGCAAAAACATGAGAGTTTCTCATTAAACGCCGTTGACGATAACCGCTCTGTTCGGTTCTTAACTGGATCCGTTAATGCAAAGTTTGAGAAGCTGCGTCCGTCCAACTAAAAGGCGCGCGCTTCGGAATGAGTGTTGATTGGCCACGCGGCGGGGCTGATTGCCTCGTTGCGGGCCGGACGTGACGTCATCGCGTGCTAAGGTCTGGCCACGGGTCAGTAAACACTAGAATGTCGTCGGTTAAATAACTATGTATCTTACCGACAACTTCACAGAAGCCGTGGTACTTATCCAGACCGCCGTGAAGTGAAAGTATAATACTTTCGCGTTTCGTCTGGTAAGCGAGGTAACCGGAGTTCAATTTTTTAAAGGTTTTCAACGCATCTGCAACCTCGGGTGTAGCACATGTCCATGTGTGTGTCCAAAAAAGATCTCTATTAACAATAGTTTCATCCAGTACAACTGTAGTTATTATATAGCATTTAATAACACAAATCTTCAATGCCGTTCTTTAATTTGACATAACTTTTTTATTTATGAAAAGATTTATATAAAAGTTACACTAAATGGTAAGTGAAGCTTACTACAATGCATTAGTGAAAGTTGCTTCCAAATCGGTTAATCCGTTTCTGAGATTAACGAGTACAGACAAACAGACAAATAGTTTCGGAGCTCATTCAAGACAAGTTTCTGATGGTCAGATAAAATTTTTAAAAACAATGATTTGCTAATTAGACACCGTGTACATAGCAGTCTCCATTTAAATAAATCACCGAAATCACAGACAGACATTTCTATTTAATTATTGACTAGTTGTTCCATGCGAATTCATCCGCCAGAAAGGTTTGTGCTTCGCCCCCGTTAGTCGAAGCGTAATGTTAAATACCCTCCTCAAGAATTGTGCTATCAAATGCAAAAATGGTTTATTCAAATCCGACTGTTAGTTGCCAAGATTAGCGCGTTCATACAAACAAAAATACAAACTGTTCAGCTTTATTATATTAAGTGCAAATGTAGGTAAATAGAATATATTTTATACATTCTTCAGCCATTGTTTACAATGACGAATACAGTGTTGAATATCGTTTCAATTGTCACTTACATAAGGAAAATACGAGTAGATGTACAATCGGCAACACGAGGCCGGTTCAGTAGGAAAAAGTTTGTTAATTAACAATTCCTTACAGCGAATTATTTTATCGAGGTGTCCTTTTTACCCGACTGCGCCAGAAAGAGGCTTATGTTTTTCGAGAGTATGTTGAGTATGCAGCATGAAAGGCTTGATAGATTTAGCTTTAGGGGTGTCGTTAGATTCGTATTTACTGTGGGAGTGAAACTGGGTATATCAAACTAGATAAATACACAGAAACGCATTCGGATTTTTTAGTTTTTTAAATTATATTCCACTTGTTCTGTAAGTGAGTAGATGTGATGCTGATATTGCAACCTTTAAATAAAAAGGACCACAAAGGGCGAATTTAATGCCTTTTAGCATTCTCTCCCAGTCAACCGTGCAATTATAACATTAAAATATTTATATGTATTACTATATAATTACTTAAACATACACATATATACAAGTAGCGTTGGACGTGTGTTCATTTATTGTCGCGATGGTAAAGACACGCTGTATATTCGCATCACTGAAAGGACACCTAGAAGGCCACTGTAAGGTAGTAACTTTTTGAAATAAAACTTCTTTACGCACTCTTGATTAGGCGTTACGAAAAGAGTGATGATTCGCGAACGGTGATTTCTTGATAATTTCGCAATTTCATTTCGTTCTCGAAAAATTTTATAAATTAATATATTTTTTAAATACATTTAATATTCTACGTTTAAAGCGAATAAAATTGTAAATTCAAACAAATGGATGTAGAGATTACATATAGATGGAGCAAAAATTGAATTGAAAAAAAAATATGGTTTTTATTATTTATTTGACATAAAGCAAAAGTACAATTTAGGCAAAGTGAAAGCACCGAGTAAAGGGCGCTTAATGACAATCTCACTCTGCCCTAATACGCGCATGCTATGGTTGTTGCCGATTTTCAATTCAAATCGAAATTGTGCACTACAGCACGAGACGACCTCAGCCGTGGGTGTTACGCGTTAGTATCAGTTGGGCCGAGGGTCGATCTTCGCGCTGATACCTTATCATCGGCTACAACTGTTCAAGGTTCCTCGTGCGGCTTTTTGCTACTTCCGTTGCTACAATTTGCACTCCGATTAACATCGCGTCACTGACTGGAACTGATAGGCTCCCTCGTCTAGCACGATTATCGTCTTAGATGATATTATATACAAATACGATATTGTATTACAAAAAATTATTATAAACCGTGTAATTACGTTTTTTTTTATGTATTGATATCGTGTTATTAAAAATAATGTACTTGGTTGTAATTATGGAGGTTACTGCTACTTACTTATATAGTAATAAAAAGAAATTGTGTGGTTTTATGAAACCGTGATGCATGTGAAACCTTTTTTTCGTATCGTAGGCATTTAACTGAAAATCTTCAGCATTTAACTGAAGATTTTCAGTTAAATGCCTACGATATTACGAATATACATTCTACACGGTTTGACGATGAGCGGTAGGCGCCGCCATCTTGGCCTTGGCTGCTCTGCCAAGCGCCTTACTTAATGTTTTACTATAAAATAAACCATTGTCCAACCGTCCACTAAACGTTTGGCCACCCCTGCAACAACCCACACTGATAGTTTCTCCTCCCCTTGTTTCAGAAACCGACGCCAGCCAAAGTAGAAGACTGATTTTTCTCCGCACGCCGCCCGCTATGCTACATTAGTACCTCGTTAGCTCGTAGATTTAGTGTTGCACCACGCGCCATGTTCGCGCGCTGACACTCGCCGCCGGTACGGGGGTTATGCGAGCGCACGTTCCCGCCATTTCGTAGCGCGGACAAGATGGCGACCGCCGCTAGGGTTGCTCCGCCGCCGGAGGTCAGAGGCGCCGCCGACGGGGCGGAGGAGAAACTCCTCGGCTGCGATCGGTTGAACGCTGAGTCGGTGCGCCATGACCAGGACAACGCGCTCCCCGTGAAGACCTCCAAGAAGGGTGAGTCTCCTCGCTAGCATTCCCACCAGGGCTGCCAACTGTGATGTTTCTCCAGGGTTACCAATCTTACTGTAATGGCCATGCCAATGTAGTACTGGTAGACTCGTGCGAAATTTTCGCACATCACCGTGATCGGTCACTAAATGGTATATCTCATACCACTTATCGTATCACTGAATGGTAATATAATAATGTGTAAATAAATATTCATCGATGAAAGGTATCTCTATCTATCTATTTTGAAGGATAACGTATCCGATCGATAAACGTAGGATACGTCTACGATCTTTAATTTAGATAAATTATCAATAGATGGCGATATTGTATATTTTTTAACGAACGTTTTTTTTAATGAAAACATTAACTTATTCTACTTGTCTATCTTATAACGGAAACAAATACGAAACGGAAACCAGCCAATAACGGAAAACATAAGCTTTAAAATTGTGTTTGAATCACAAAATTTGATAAATAATTATGGAAGTCACGGAGTACCGTCAACAAAAAAAGCACCTTTGAAAAATAATATACAGTAACTGTACCTAAGGGTTTAATATACAGTATCTTTCTCCTGCCCTCATACCATCTAGTTGTTGTCAGCATGAAGTGGTAATATGTCGTAATTGTTATTGGCTATGTTTCGACCGGACGCCTGTCAGACGTCAACCTTCCTTAGGAACAACCATCCCAGATCCGGAATAATTATCATGTACACACAAAATATGTACCGCACGGAAATCAAACCCACGTCGGCCGTCGCCGAAGCCGGTAGCTCAAGGAACTGCGCAACGGCCACGTTACGGTGGTAGGGCCACGCAACAGTTTTCCTGTTGTACGAATGGGCAGGTCCGACCGGGTAAGTATCACGACCTCGCAGAAGGAAAGTAGAAGTGTTGCACTAGTTAGGTAACCGGGGCCCACATTATCAAGAGGTGGCAAAGCATCTGCAACCCTGCGGGTGTTGCAAATGTCCATGTGCAGTTGGTTATCACTTAACATTAGGCGAACCGCCAACTCGTTTACCACTTTCTCACATAAAAAAAACGGCGTCTGTTAAAATAAGAAAACATTATTTTTTTCTATGATATAGTAATATGCATACATTCACGTTATATAGAATTGAATTAGGAATCATTTGATCCAATAGCTTAGCGAATACACCACAGATACACCACTATTCTATGGGAACACGACGGCAATTTTAATTTCAGTAAATAGGATGGATGCAGGTAGCTCAGGATCGTACTTCGTGGCAGTCTGTGTGGGAGTCTATGTTCAGCAGTGGACCCAAAAAGGCTGAAATGAAGTTGATGATACAGGATAGCTGGTGTTCATTACGCAAGTTTCTGTAGTCCCACTGCATAAAACTCGAAGTTTTGGTCGACGAAACAAAGAATGCATTAAGTGCGCCCCGGCTACCTCACTCACCAGACGAAACGCAACGGGTAAGTACCACGACCTCACAGAAGACCGGCGTGAAGTGGAAGTATAATACTTTTGCGGTTCGTCTGGTGAGTGAGGTAGCCGGAGCCCAATTTTCAAAAGGTTGTCAACGCATCTGCAACCCTCTGGTGTAGCAGATGTCCATGGGTGGCGGTATTCACTTAACATCAGGTGAAACGCCTGCCCGCTTGACAACTTTTCACTTTAAAAAAATCCATTTTTCTACAAAGTGCAGAGATTAGCACTATAATTTTTTTTTAATTTACAAAAATATATTGTTACAAATATGTACCGATCGATCCAAGTGAAACCTAATTAGCATTTATAACTCTGTATCTATTTGAAAATTGCGCACACGAAGGTAGGTTCTATTTTGTTTATATGTTTGGGGGTAGTAAAAAAAGTCCGAACGCGACGCAGTTAGCAATGAACGCGCGTCTAGTCTCCTAACCTCCTTCGTAATTTAGACTAATTCTTTTTTTTAATTATAGTCTTTGATATTCAGATTATTTTATCTGCGTCTCGTTTTGTTCTTAATTCGCGGCGAAATGACCCGCTCGAAGTACAAGAAGCTGTGCATCGGTGAGTGGAAGTTATCGTTCTTTCCTCGTATTTCGAATATGGAATTATGTTTATGGCTCGTTCGAGCTTTTTTTTCTATTGTTCGTTTTTGGCGGGAAAGTAATGCTATATTAATAGTTACAACATGTCAATTTATCGACTTACTTTAATTTTTCTTTCGGGATTGAGATTTTTCAAGTTCTCCACTCTCCAATAACGGCATAGTATTTAAAAGGGTAAAATTTTCCATTACCACAGTGTATTTACTAAGTGCAAAAAAAAATTATTCGAATAAGAAAAATCACTAATGAAATAAACAACAGGTAGAATTACCTGGCTGCGCATAGTTTTCGAGAAAAAAATATTTAAAATTCGTTATTTTCACTAAGAAAGTCTTCCATTTTGTTATTGACAACATGTTAGATAGAAAGCTACTAAAAGATTTTTTGTTAAAAATACAAACATATTTGAAGTCGCACACTTTTCCAAATGGTAATGTCGCATTGATAAAAAACACTGACGCTTCTTCGTCTTTGGTTTAATTATTACATTTAAAAACTTTCATATTAAATCAAAAACACGTCTTGTCCACACTTTAAACAAAAAAAAACTTTTTACAAGAACACTCGTGGTGTCGACTCAAAAAAATTGAAAAGTACTGAACGATCTGATTGAGATTCTAATAAAATTTTATAAAAAGAAATAAAATATAAATTACGATACGTACACAATTCACTAGTGCTAGTAGACGCGCACATATTATCGACCATTACAAATACGAATATTAAATAGGAAATTGAAAAGAGCGGGAAATACTTATCTTTTTAAATTTAATATATGAGTACCTAACTCAAATATCAATACAGCCAATATGCTAATATCGATTTCGGAACTCGATTACAATTTATAAAATCTTTTTAATCAGTAGTATAAATTAATTTCAAGTCTATTTAACACAAATTGATAGGTTTTTCGTAATTGCACATTTTTATATATCAAGAAGCCTTATCTGATTAAGATTAATAGTGATTTTTTCTTTAATTGGTTTATTAAAATTACAAAGATTTTTCTTTTTACATACGAAATATTCACCTTTCATAAATTTTAATTTTTTGTTTAATGTAAAAAATATTCATATTTCTGGCCGTGGAAGAGTCAAATTTAATAATGAAATAATAAATTATTATTTCATTAAAAATAATAAATTATTATTTCATTATTAAATTGAAATTCAGTCGAATGAAATTAAAATTTAATAATGAAATAATAAATTATTATTTCATTATTAAATTTGACTCTTCCACGTGCTTTGCCAGAACACGCTTTGTCGCCCCTGAGTGTCGCTTCACCCACTCGGCCTTCGCTCCACTACGGATCTCGGCGGCTCGCTTCGACGACCTCCGGCGCGACATTCTGGCTCCGCCTTTTTATGTTCAATCTAGGGGTAGGGCCCACAAGACCACATGGAGTCGGGGTGCTCTGTGTCGGATCTGTGACTCATTATTTAAAAAAAAAATTATCGATTCCCTTCCAACACCACACGTTGAATAGAGAGCGCTGAGGCGCCTTGCTTGCTTATTGTTGATTTTCTTATTTGGAAGTATTTCTTAATTACCATTTTTGTTTAAATAAAAGTTAGCGATTACGCCAGTATGATTTTTATAGACTTTTTCAACACGGTGGCGCAGTAAGACTTCGGCGCCGGGGGTCGTGGGTTCGATTCCCATACGGGACAATTATAAGTGCACCACAGATAATTGTTTCCATTCCAGATTGACTCCATGTAGGAAAAGGAAACATGACTTTTCCAAATACATACAACTGTAGTATTCAAAGTAAATTACGTTTACATGATTAAAATTTCTGTATAAATATCAATAGTATATATATATATATATATATATATATATAATTTGTTGACTGGTCAAGGTATTGTGCGAAAAAATTCGCACGAGTCATAATAGTGACCATAAGTTTTAGGCACAAAAAATTCTCGCCTATGCTGAAATCCACATCGTTTATTTAAAAAGAAAACATCGAAGCGCTAACCAACTGTTTGAATACTAACGAAGATTTCGAACCATCATCATCTATCCAATTAACACGTACGTGCGTGTTCAATCACATAGCGGCCTTTATTGTTTTGCGAGTAAGGTTCAAATTGCTGCATGCGCCCATTCATAGATTTGATACGATAATTTAATATTCCCTAATATTCATTTCAAGACTGTTTAGTGCGAAAATTTCACGAACGTATACAATTGTAGACTTTATTACGCAGTTGTTTAAGTTGAAAGTACTTCTCAAACAAGAGTTCATAGCTGTATATTTCATTTTGTTTGTTTTTCTTTAAAGCTATATGTAGTTTTGGCGCGTTCGGGAAAAACGATGAGCATGAGTTTTTACGATGCGCGGCACATGAAAGTGGCAACCAATAACAACTTTTTGACATTTACGTAGAACTCCAAGATATTCAATTAAACCTTTATCTATTGCATTTAATGTCTTTTTCACAAACAAAGAGTACTGGCACACGGCATGATTTTTCAGTTTGTAGACTGGGATATTTTACACGCGCTTATAACATGATCTTTATTATTAAGAGTGTAAATTTCAAGTTTGTTCAGGGAACCATTTTTTGCTTCGTCATTTATCATCCGTACAGCTAAGGAATGGAACAACCTGCCGGCGTCCGTCTTTCCGTCCGATTACAACGTAGGCGTCTTCAAGGCGAGAGTGAATAGGTTTTTACTGAGCTAGCGCGCTTACCATCAACGGCTGCATCGCCACTTACCATCAGGTGGGATGGCAGTCAAGTGCTGGCCAGTTCCAAATTAAAAAAAAAACCCATTATTAAATATGTTGTTAATATGTTTGCGAAATTTCAAAGCAATTGAAACTGTGGGTGATAATTCTATCAAAGGAATTTCATCGCTGTGTTTGATGCATATAGGTCAAGCGAATAGCCTCGTTTTGAAATTCAGGGTAGAACCTAG